AGCCAGGTTGGGACGCAGAGCCCCGCTGGGTTCCAGGCCGCGGAGGCCAGCCCCGAAGGCGGGGTCTGAGCCGTGGCGCACTTCGCGCGACTCGCTGGACGGCACATACTCCAGGCGTTGGTGTCCATCGGGGCCGAGCTCAGGGTAGCGCGGCCCAGCGCCCAGTGCGAAGTCATCCGGGTCGGCGAAGCCCGCGCGGCCCGCACGCAGCTTCTCGAACAGGCCCTGCGGGCGCGCCGGCGCCAGCAGCGGATCCCACTGGTAATGCTGCTGGTAGAGCTGGTCGCGGTGGAAGTGGCTGGTCTGGAAGCGGAAGTCGTCGCCGTGGCTGAGGAACGTCTGCCGCGACACCTGCCGTGCGGCTGCAAAGTTCTCCACGGCGCCTGCGCCGTCAGCCGCGGTGTAGCTGTGCCGCTTGAAGGCATCCATCTCCATGTGCCGCGCCTGGAAGAAGCCTCGCGGGCCTGCAAACTCCCCGGCAGGCCCAGCCTCGGCATCCAGCCGCCGTGACAGTGGCCGCAGCCCTGCGTGTGGCTCCAGGGCACCCCCGGGCATCCGCGATGGCTCCTCCCGGCGGAAGGCCGACAGGAAGTGGCGGTCAGGGTCGAGGAAGGAGGGGAAGCCCAGACCCTCTTCCCGGGGTGGCGGGAACAGGAGGTGTGCTCGTTTAGGGTAGGAGAATGGGGTTGGCGCCCCGACGCCCATGAGGGGCCCAGCCCCTGTGTAGGGAGCCAGGGCATAGGTGTCCATGCGGGCCAGTGCCCCGGCAGAAGGCACTAGCGGTTCGGACTGTGCGAAGAGGATGCGGAACTCCTCGTCGAAACTGGACACCAGCTCACCCTGGAACACGTGTGCCAGACTGCGGTGGATCTTCTCGAAGGACCACATGAAGCTGTAAGCAGAGTGGGGGCCAGAGTCAAGGAAGGGGAGTGGGCAGAGAGGGAGTGAGGGCAGGAGACCCGTGGGTGAATCACGGAGGGCTCTAGATATGTGAGGTCTACAGTGAGTTGGGCCAGGCTGTGTCAGGCCACATAAGGAGGGCTTCTGGAGAGGAAGGTTGTGGTGGTAGGGGAGGTACTGGGGCTACAGGAGGCTCTAGGGGAGGGGCTGGAGTTGTGGGGCAATGGGGCAGGCGCACCTGTAGCTCCCACTCATCACTACAGCACAATCCACAAGCAGGAACTTCTCTTTCACATGGCCCTTGAAAGACTTTCCAGTGCGGCAGTAGTAGGTGGGGCCTGCCACAGTGCGTACCCGCAGGAACTGGGGAAAGAAGGGAGTCAAATCTGGCCCCAGGTCTTTCCCCCTCCCCCATCCTCCGTGTAACTCACATCCACATGGTGCAGGTTGATGCGGCACTTGTCAGCCATGTCCAAGAAGTGCTGTGCGTTTATTTCATCCAGCAGGATGTAGACTGGCACCCGGCGGGCAGCGGCCTCCAGTACTTCACTGAGTAGGTCCACATCAGTAAACATGTCCATCACCACAGCCACCACCTGCAGGGGTCGGGTCAGGACAAAAGGCAACTCCCTTCTGTTCCCATGCCATTCACCCAGGAAGCCTCTGGCTCACCCACAAATGCTGTGAGACAGCCACTAACCCATCCCAGGGAAGATGGGTCAGGATGAAAGGATCTAACAGAGAGGGTGTGGGGCTACTGGCTCATAAGGCCATCCAAGGCAAGCACAGGGCAGAGGACCCTGGATGGGATGGACAAGGCAAAGGAAGCCTCCACAATCCCCTCTGCTCTACAGATGGTTGAGCTGCCCCAACCCCAGGGCAGGGATCTGGGCTGAGTCCCATGCTCCAGTTCTGCCCTAGGCAGAGGCCTTTAACATCTGGACCTGAGCCTCAGATACCATGACTTAAAAGGCTCCCTTTGCTGTCTGCTAGCTGTGGGTGGGAAGTAAGAAACCCTCAACTGGTCAGTGGCCACTGGGCAGGACTAGAGAGAATTCTCTGAAGAATAAATTCAGGCTAGGAGGGCACCCACCCATCCCAGAGCTCGAGTTTCTGTGCACTGGCCATGACTATAGGCAAGCAAACCTGCACAGAGCCTGCAGGCTGTTGATGACCAAGCCCTTGGTTACCCCAAATTCTGCCAGGGATCCCTGCTGCAGCTTGAGCCCGGGGCTCACTTCCATCACAAGCTGGCCTTGCTTATATTTCTCCTTCACCCTCTCACTCCTACTCATGCGTCCAGCTTAGACCACCCTTCCCCATAGTGTGAAGCCCATATTGCACACCTGCTGGGCAGAACGGATCATCCTTCGAGCCTCATCCTTGATGCTGGGGCTGTCAGGGGGCGGTGGTTGCACCAAGGTGGTTACCTCGGTGCCCTGGAAGCCAAAGGTCAGGGGCCAGCCCAGATCAAGCTCAGGCACAGCCTGGTCTGAGTTTACTGGCCAGTAGGTGCCTGAGGAGCCATCCATGTCCACATCAGGAGGGCTACCTTCGGGAGCGTCTCGGGCAACATATTGTGGTGGCCTCAGGTGTCGGCTCACATGTTCCAGCTCCTCTGGGCACAGGAAGTCAGGAGCCCCCTCTGACACCAGGAAGCGGCTATAGGCCTCTGACCCACCCTCGGCCAGTGCATCCACTGCCAGGCGATAGTACTCTTTGTAGTGAGGTGGCAGGTACCCGGGTGCCAGTGGGTTGTCCCCCTGCGAGGAGCTCTGGGAGCGACGGGCCATGTCGGGGCCAGGGGCCTGGAGGGGCAGAGAGACACATTACTAGGGACGGGGGCACTGGAACCACTCCCCCTACTCTCGAACACAAACACACATTGTGGAAGGGGCTGTCAGTGACTTGGGTGGGCTGGAGTTCAGCCCACACCCAGAAGGCCTTCCAGGGCACTACCCAGGCCAGGCTCACAGAGGGCACCCCAGATCCTAGGAATCGCCCTAGCTGGGGGTGCATCAATTGAGTACCAGGGCATAGGTATCTTGGCACAGGCATCTCTCCCCTTCCTCTGGCCTCACTGGCTGGGTCCTTGTTTTCACCTGAACCCAGGGAGGGCCTCACATCCCCAGCTTCCACAGGGCCTTTAGCTCCACATCCCCCCCATTCAGGTTTACTTTAAGACTTTTGTGGCCCCAGATACTTGCTTGTGGGCCCCTTCCTTTATACAAATATATTTTAAATATTTTATGACTGTTGGCTTAAAGACAGATATAATCCAGGCTGGATTCATTATTATTATATTCACTTTTTTCTTGCTTTACATTAACATTTTTGTGAGCCCCTGGCACTGTGCCTACTTGACAAATCAGTGCTGCTCATGTTGCCTGTGTGTTTGTCCCCAACTGCCTGGGTAAGTTGCTGTGTCTCTCTGGTCTGTTACCGCCACTGTACAACATAGCTGTGAGGGTTGACGTGATGCCACACCTGGACCAAGGTGAGTATAGCAAATAGGTTTGTAACTACCTTCCTCCTGGAATAGCAGCCTTAACCCATACCTCCCCATCCTCAGGGTTTCACATTCTGATCCCCATAACCCATTCTCTGACCTTCTGAACTTTGTCCCTGTCCACCAGACTCCCCCCTTTGGCCCACTTCTTTTCTCTCACCACTGTCCCATCTTAGATAAAACCTCCCTGGGCCACGCCTCAGTGCTTACAAGACCCTGCAGGGTCTGTACTTTACACAGTCCCAAATCTGGTTCTCCACTTGCTCAGGCCCAGCCCATGGGAGTGGAGACTTCTACAGTGCTAGGGCCACCGCCCTGCTCCCCATTCCCTCTTAATAAAATCAGAACTTGTTGCTGTGGCTTTGGGTCTCCCCAGATCCCCACGCTCACACCATCATCCATGCCTGGCTGTCCCTCAGCCCACCCTCTTCTCCAAAGGGCCTGTGTAAGGGCCTGGAGTCTCCGGAAAGCCATCGGATGGGGGCTTCAGTTGGGCTCCCAGGACCTATTGACACAGGGTCACTGAACTATCTGCATGTCTGTCCACCGATGGCCCTGGAAGGGAGAGGCCTAGGGTCTGCTCACCCATACTCATTACTCCTCAGGCTGGGGATAGGAATGGGACACCTGTCCTGCCTAGCACACAGGTTCCTGAATGTTGGTCCTGGCTGGGAAAGTGGTTCTGCCCAGACAAAGGAGTGTGCCCCGAGGTGCTTACAGGATGGGTGCAACCCAGGCAGCTGTCCTGCCTGGCTCCCTTGGGAGTGACACACTAGCTAAACATGATGTGATGGGGGATACTCCTGTGCAATTCAGTCCACCAGTCCCAGAGATGATACCTGGTCCAACTGTCCTAGGAAAAGCTGTCCCAACTTTTCTTTGTGGGGGCACTGTCCTGACTGCATCCAGGTTCCACCTCAAGCATGACACATGGGGATAGAGTACATTGTCCTGGTTGTCCCAGGAACAGACTGAGGCAGACTACATGGGGGTGAGAATGCAGGCTTGTACTGGGGTCTCCCACTGTATCTGGCTATTGTGAAGAGTGACATTCATTCACCACTGCCCAGTTTGGCTGTGTATGGGCAGTGTCTGACCACACAGGGCTTGGGGGAGCTACTCTATGTTTGAGGGAGAACTTCCAAGACACTCTAGAACGGTTACTATGGTCCCTTATGATTTTACTGGGGAGAGGTATCAACACAAACTCTACAGGCTGCATGTAATGGGAGTTGAGGGACCATCCAGACTGTGGAAGCCCTGTGGCAAGGAGCCCTCCCAGCAGACATTGCTGGTTAGGAAGAAGCACCCCAGCCCCAAGTGGCCACACTTGGTGGCCCAGATCAGCTTCACACAGCAATGCCCAGACTTCCAAAGACTTCATTCCTTGTCTGTATCCTTTCATGGGTTTGCATCTCCTTGGACTATGGATGGGGCAGTGGCCACTCCCCAGCCCCAAAGAAGAAACCCAGCAGCTAGTTTTCCCACACATTTGCCTACCAAATACTTGCCCCAAGGGAGGAGGGCACTGATCCCACCTAGGCCAATGACTCAGCAGGAATTTGCTCCTCTGCTACTAACCTCTGACCTCTAACCTGAAGCCAGACAGGGCCCTCACCTGGACTTTAAGGACCTCATCCCGGCAGGAAATGGGGTTCCTATGTGTCTAGAAGACCCCATAGGAAGGATCCGGAGCTCCTACACAAAGCGGTGACCCTGTGTCAAGTACCAACAGGCAGCAGGACGGTACGGAGGCATTAGGCAGCAGGGAGGTGGACTGGCAGGTGGGATTTGACCAGATGGGGCTCACAGACTCACAAACCGGAAGTCGATAAGTTGCAACTTGCGGGGTGTACACCTCAGGGCCGAAGGGGGTTAGTGCACCCCAGGAAGCTACGGCTGCATGGGCTGGGTGTCCAACCGCCTACCCCAGTCCAGGGTCGTGGGCCTATTGGACAGGCACCCACCTTCCTGCCTTCCACGCAGAGATCTAGGCCGCGCGCTGGCTACCCCAGTCCATGGCGGCCGGGGCGGGGCGTCCCCAGGGAAGGGTCCAAGCCATGCCCAACACCCTCCCCAGAGTCCAGCGAGGCGGTGAGCGGGAGCGAGTCAAGAAGGCCCAGGCAGATTCTACCGGGGCCGTCCCCTTCCCACCCCGCTCTTCCTGGGAAGACGTCGTGCGAGGGCGCTCGCGTCCAGATCTGCACGGCTGCGCCCCCTTACCCAGTGGCCCACCCCCGCAGACCCAAGCCCAGCGCACGCGGTCGCGCTCCACTCCCACTGCCAGTCTCTGGGTCGCGCGGCCCGGGCCCAGGTGCTGGCAGCAGAGCTGCCCAGGTGGGGCCGCTCCGAGGGGCACCCGCCCCCGCCTCCGCCGCGCTCCGCCCCTCTCGGGTCGGGGGAGGGGGCCCTACCTGGCCAGGTGCGCGGGGTCTCGGCACAGGGGCAGCAGGAG